TAACCCACAAATTATCATTTCTCACTTTTATCGTAGTGGTCAAGATACGAGGAAACACCCTGTACTTATTTAAATTTTTATTTGACAATTTTACCAAACTTCCTAATTTTTTTTCTTCGGGTATCATCTTGCAAAGATTTTCTTTTCATATTGCTACTAAATTTTGCTTTTAAATTTCTAAAATTCATCCTAATTATTGTTCTTAACTTGCAAAAATCTTTAATCAAAGCAAATGATAAATCTTTTTCTAATTTAAATATTTTTTTTGCCAAGTTCTGTACAATCCCTTGCCCTTTTCGAAAAGAATCCCCATGGTGAGACTGGAAATAAAAGTTCCATTTTTTAATTTTTCTCAAAAAATGCTCAGAAGGTTTGATAAGGCCCCCATATGACAATTGTTGTACCCAAGACGGAATGCTGTACTGATGGTCCATAATGTTAACTTTATAAGTATAATTTCCCAAATTGGGTAAATCTTTTTTGTGTTTTTTAGCTAAGTAGCCTGCAATATATTCCAAAGCATCATCGGTAGTTTCCTCAGCGTTCTGATTAAAATCAGATTGATGATTGATTGATACTTGAGGAAACTGATGAAAATGATGAGCTGTTTTGGGACTCATTATCGTTATTGAAATCGGGAAGCGATTCTTGGTCAAGAGAGGCATCTGTGATTTTAACTTGTGCAGCTTCCAGAACTTTGGTACAAATAATGTACTCGTCTAGAACTTGCTCTTCTGTATTTACTTTAGAAGTTAAAATACCAGGATTTTTTCCTAATAAAATCATACGGATTCTGTAAATGGCCCCAAGCGGCGTCGGGTGTTCATCTGGACCTCCTCTGCTTCTTATTTGAAAAAAAAAAATTCTCCAAGTTGTCTTGATTTAATTTATGTGTACATATATATTTTATGTCTAATGTGGACTTCATATCCTCAAACAATCTTTCTAAAGAAATAATTGACAATAACATGCCTTTTTGAAAAGTCATTAGGGTATTTTTTCCAACAACTCTCATATTAAAAATTAAATCATAGATTTTTTTTAAATGGTCATTTTGATTTTTCCAATCTATTCCATAAGCATTTTTTGATGGGACACTTCCTTTTGGAATGTAACTATTGAAAATATCAAACCATAAATTTATATCACTTATAAAGTTTCCCAAATTTTCTGCCATTTTCTTATCTTCTCCAGGTTTATAATGCAAAAGAGCAGTAGAAACATTATTAGAAAGAAGTTGCGCAGCAAGTTGAACCTTTTGACGATTTGTTTTCTCAACATCTAAATGTTTCTGATTTATTTTCCAACAGGGATTGACCTCACTATCAGTTAAGGAAACCAGAGCCTGAAGAGGATTTTTATTTAAAATGGAATTATCCTTTAGCTTGAACCCCTTATCTAAAAGCCAGTTTCGTAATAATTTTAATAAATGTGGAACATCAGCAAACATATAAATGTTATTATTGGAAATAGGATGTTTAAATGAAGTGTTAATTACATCTGAGCTTACATCGATACCTAATACCTTCCATAGTCCCACATTACTAGCACCACAATCACTTACACAGGCCACCACATTGTATGAGATTTTATGAAGTTCAGTAATAATGTCAAACAAGATTTCCTTTGTTATTTTTTGGTCAAAAGCAATAAAAATAGGCTGTTTCCAATTTGAAAATAGGCCTCGAGCCATCACAACTTGCATATAGTTATAAGGCCCTAATATTTCATCCTGAGCAACATTATACTCTTCCACAGTTTTGACTTTCACCTCATCGTACTGTAAAACAACAGTTTTTTCAAAGGAGGAAAATGATTCACCAGCCAGCTTTAACATAAGCAAAACATCTGATAATATTCCTTGAGTTAAATTGAGCTCCGAAGCCCATCTTCTTAAGGAAGAGAGAGCTGGTAGTGGGTAATTCAATTTGCTTCTTAAATAAAGGTAACATTTTTTACTGTAATATCTTAATGTAAATGCTATAGCTATTTCGTCTCGAGTCCAATTTACCCGTTTCTTTTTGTTTGACACTAAATTGATTTGATTTTGAGAAAGTACAGTTTTCAATAAATTCATAGAAGCTGTTTCAGTTACTTTAGATTTATAGCGCTTAGTTTTTATATAAGTATCTTAGTTGGTCATAACAAATTTTATTTTTTTTAATCGTTTTAATATACGAAGCTTTAGTTTTATTATAGTTAGCTTTTAGCAAAGAATATTTCTTTTTTAGATTATTAAAATTATCTAACAAATCCAAATACTTAGCTTTGTAATTTATTTCTTGGGGTTCTGGAGATGGATTTTTCTCAGGAATTTCGCTACCGCTATTTGATGCTTTTGAAGCTCAGACACTATCTGCTGAACTTCCTGCGTAGCATTTTTTTCGTGAAGCTTTTCAAATCTAGATGATGCTACTTCTGTTAATGGCTTTTCGTTGAATAATAATAATGTAGGAACTGCAGTCTTTTTTAAAATCTTTTTTAAAGGTAGACCTAAAATTTAAAATATTTTATGTGAATTTTTTATGATGTTACTCTCGATGTTACTTCAAGACGGAAAAACGAACACAAAACATTAGAAACTACAATAAGTAGGTACCTAATAACTCATTTTGCAAGTCTCTTTCATAATCATTTTCAGTAAAATGAACTGAGCAGACATAGCTTGTATCTGCATTAAGTTTGGCTTTTCTTTTACAAAAAACTATCCACTCATTCTGAATAGTTTTAGATACAAGGTCTTTTCCTAAAAGGCTAAAGCCCCGGGCCCCGAAATGAGGGGGGCCCCAAAACACCACCTCACGCGGGGAAGAAGTCATGCATATAATTTACACTAAACAAAACCGTCGATTTTAAAATTCGAAGCCCACACACTTCAGGTTTGTTGACATTTCGAACAAAATCAGGTGAAGCCAGATATTTGCATCGGTTTTGTATGCCAGCAAAAACGACAATTTTTCGCGCACACACTTCGGTTTTGTGTCGTTTTTGCTCGATCAGATTTGCACGTACAACAGAACTGTCCAACAAAAACGCAGTATGTGGGCCCCTTTACAATTTGAGAGCGTTAACCACCAGTAATTCTGTAATCATAACTTTTTGGCGTTAATATGCATAATATCAAAAATATTTATACGAGAAAGTTGTAGAGAACTACTATATCTAGCTGATTACATGGCAATAATTTTTATTTGCCAATTTTTTAATTTTTATTTTGATTTAAAAAACAAATTTTAGAAATGTTACTAAGTACGGTGATAATGGTGGATAATTCAGAAATATTTATTCAAGAAAAAAAATTTCCAAATCAAACAGTTTCTCCAAAATTACATTTTTTTAATCTGCAAGGTAAAATTTTGAGTGACGTTTGAATTTATTTCAGGGACCTAGGGGCCCCTTTTGTGAAAATAGCCCCAGGCCCCAAAAGACCTTAATCCGACCCTGTGCTTTAGGGGTGCTTAGCACCCCCAAGCATTCCCCTAGTTGCGCCTATGGTGATAAATTTACCTACACTTGTGGACATCGGATTGTGAACAGGATATAATTATTCATACCACTTTTGAAAATGGTGAATTCACAATTCAACGTTTAAATAAAAATACCTAATAAAAAATTTAATTAGTGTTTTTTGAACGACTTTTGGGTCGAAATTTGGGTTAGTTTGGGTTACTCAAAAAAAATTTAGCCTCCGGCGGGGGGCTTGTGATGGGCCCACAGAAATTTTGGCACACAGGCCCGGAGCTGGGTTGATACGCCACTGGGGTGTACTTAGATAAACTGACACATTTTGCAGGTAAATATTTCGAAAACGGGAAAAGATAACGAGATGCGATTTGTTCTGGGAGAATAAGGATTTTTTAAAGTTTTTTTTTCACATTATGGCCAAAATAAAATGACTGCCTTATTTTTAATGAAACACCCTGTATATTCATCGTTAGAAACTCTAATTTTTCTGCTTTATAAAAATGTATAATTTTTTTTTCAATTATCTTGAATTTACATCGTGAAAATTGCACTTTTTCGAAGAAAATATACCATCGACTAACCAACAAAAAATTGAGAATTAATTTGTGTTAAATACTTTTATTAACTAATTAGCGCATATTTAACTAATAATACAAGTATTAAACACAAATAAGTGCATATAAAATACAAATAAACAATTATTATTATTATTTTTTAGCCAGTCGATGGTACACTCTTCAACAAGATGCATGTACATCTTTAAATTACATGCATGCTTCCAAAGGTGGTTTGATAGAAATATTTAAAGATTTTTTGCATTTAAATGAGAAAAAATTCATAATTCCATTTCTGAGCTTGATATCCATTCGCGGTTTGTTTTGTTTGATAAAAAGACATTACTCAATAAATCCTGAAAGTTTGAAGTCCCTCTAATTATTTAAAGTATTTCTTTTTTTTTTTTGGCCAATTGATGGTACCCTTTTTAACAAAGTGCAATTTTTGAGATGTAATTTAAAGATAATTGAAAAAAGTTATACATTTTTGTAAAGAAGAAAAGTCACGCTTTTTGACGATGATAAAATATACCGGGTGTTTCATCAAGAATAAGGCAGTATGTAATTATTTCAAAAAATCAAATGTCTGTAAAACCAAATTTCAGAATTCGTTAATAACATGAAAATAAAACTTTAACAAATCCTTGTTCTTCCAGCACAAACTGCATCCCATTATCTTTTCTCGTTTTCGAGATGTTCACCAGTAAAATGAATCAGTTTATCTAAGGACACCCTATATATAGGGTGTCTCAACAAATATGGCATTGCCGATTTCGTAATTAAATTTTTTAACGAAAAATGCCATAATATACCATGAGTTACATTTAAGATTCGAAAGTTGACGTCACTTGACTTAAATTGAAGCGAAAGTGGTGAAATTGGATAACATCAATGGTAGAAGCGGCACAAGAAGTTACCCAGATCTCCAAAATTTCAATTACATTGGAAGACGTGTTTCGAAGTTATTACCTGGAAAAAACGTCGTGGAACACCCTATATTTGTTTCCAATATTCAAAATAACAAAAGACTAATTAGGAGTTTAAAAATTGACATTATTTGGGTAATTTATACAATCCGTTTGAATAAATTAACTGTCTTTCTCTCACTTTCCTGTCTAAAAACGATTTTAACTCGGATTGGCTGCACTCGGTGGTGGTGGGGCCTTGAAAGGCGAAAATTTTAAGCATGTGATGAATTCGCTCGAGCCCCAAACTGTCCAGGTTCATTAGCATTCCAATGATATACGACCAAATATTCTAGAAAAAAAAAATTATTATTGGAAAAATTTGAATCAATTATAATTAGGTACACTTTGTTTCACGATGGTTCATACTTTTTTCCTTCCTTTTTTAACAAATAGAAATTGACTGTAACAAATCAATGACGTCAAAAACATTCGTCGATTTTCAAACCAGAAATCATTCATTTCACTTTGTCAAAAAAATTGAATGTGTCATATGAATTAATCTACGACAACTCTTTTTTTTTTTTCAAGTTTTGAAGCCTTTGATATCAAAAGTATAAACTTTCGTAAAACGAACTGTATTTACTTGTAATTCTTCCTCTTTCTGATCTTGAGCGCTGGCCATAGCAGATTCAGACTCGAAATCTTCCACGTAAAAATCCTCAGGAGCGGAATTTTTATTTTCCTTTACTTCCTGAACTGAAAACACGTCCAACTTGGTTTCAGTTAGAATGCCGTGCGACAACCAAAATCCGATTTTGCGTCGCAAAATCGTAGCCGGACATTGCATCGTTTTACTGAGCTCTTCCAACTCCCACGTGCCTGAAAATTTGTCCCCCCAATTAGTTCAATTGAAGTACAAGTATGAAGTAAATATATTTGATAGATTTACTTGAAGTACAAGTATTCAATTTTTTTTTTAAATTTAAAATTTACTTGAATTTTATCAAGTAATTTACTTCAAGTAAAAACATTGAGCTTCAAATAAAGTAACATTACTTGAAGTATATTTTAGTTTTCAGTGGAAAACAACCCTGACATCATTTCCAAAAATGTTGAAAATTTCAATGAAATTTGCTCAAAAGTTACCAAGCAATTGAGGTTTGAATATTTTGAAATCAAAATTTGGGTACGTTTATGAAAGACACGATTTATTTATTTTTAGGTTTTGCTCAATTTTAACTTAACCAATTGATAGAGTGGGGGTCGAAATTAGTGGAAAACAGCCTTGACATCATTTCCAAACGGCCATTTTACGCAGGAACAAAAAAAAAAAAAAATCCTATTTTTGTCTCTATGGAAAATTTTCAAATTCTTAGTACTATAAAAATATCCAGAACATCATAGTGTGTATTTTCAACATGCAATTAATTTATCGCGGTCGCATTGTTAACACCAATACTTCACCAAGCAATATGCCCAACACTTGTATGCCAAATTCGACGAATTAAAGACCTATACTTACTAACATGCCCAAAGGTCATACCTACCAACACCAACCCCATCTGAACCTTCCCCGTCAGCATCCAAGAAAAACGGATAAAAACGCAAAAGTTCAAGATACAACAATTGGAAGACATCATTCCCCAAATTAAGTCGGAACTGATGTTAGACAAATCAGAATTCCGGTATAAACATTTGATGGAATCAAGCAAGAAACAATGAGATGCAATCCAACACCTGCACGAAGAAATCGGCGTATATGAATATAGCCATCAAGATAAATACTTCACCCAAGATTTGTACAAAGAAGTCCAGAGCCAATTCGATGATGACATTGAAGAATTAGCGACAAAAATCTAGCAAAATGTCGTCACCCCAACTCAACAAATACTAATGAGTCAACCACAACAGAATCTGTAACTACCAAATTACAAATTCCAATTTTTCATGGAAGGTATGAAAACTGGTCTACATTTTTAGACATTTTCGGGAGAGTCATCCATGAAAACTCAGATGCACTGCCTAAAAACAAATACCAGGGAAGAAGCAAGCAAATTAATATAACACTTAGGAACAATTGCAGCCAACTACGATTTAGCATGGGGGATCTACTTAAAAAGCACTACGAAAACAAAAGGCTTCTAATATTTAATATCCTAGACAAGCTATTAGACATACCAAAAGTCTCAAGAGAGAACTCCGAACTACAGCAACTACATGTCACCAGCAAATGTCTATAAACACTAAAAAATCTAAACGTCAAAGTTGACACCTGGGGGGGCCCCATAATAATCCGAATGACAATCAGCAGAAAGTGGGACTCCGAAACTAATCGCCTATACATATGAGTATAAAAAAATAAAATCTTGAGAAGTCTTATAGAGTTCCAGAATTGACAGAATTCATGAAATTTTCGGAAAGAAAATTCCAGTCACTAGAAACTATTTCAGGATCAAAACGCAAGCCAAACCTTGAGAAAAAAAATACAATACCTCAAGCTGTTTGTTCTGGCAAGACCAATACATGACGTACCACTGCCAGAAATTCAAAGGAATTTCAGCACAGGATAGATATGTTCAAGAAAAGTACATCTTCCACAACTGTCTCAGTCATAATAGGTTTGTTCCAACCCGCCAAAAAACCGTCCCAAAACCACTCCATATACGAATTTCGGTTTCTAAAAAAATAAAAAGAGCGGGTTGCTTGGTAACTGAAATCTAGAAACGAGACTTCGCGTGAAGGGTTGCCGACTAGCTTCCAATGCGGAGAGGAGTGTGGATCAATTAGCTAAATAAATAAAGAGCGCCACCTGATTTTCCCTGCAGTACATGAAGTCAATCGATATAACGAAAGCAGGAAACTTCTGCAGACCTATAGCAGCACAACCTGAAATATAAAAGTAAACCAGAAGGAAGAAACGCTTTGCTACAATCAGGTACAGGTTTTTAATTAAAACCAGAACAGCACTGGTTTGACTCCAGAGCAGGTTCGGAGTGGGTTTTCCGAACGCCCTGAAACACTGAATATTATTGGAACCAGAACAAGAAAATAAATCGTCTAGGAGTACTTAACCCTCGACTTAACCTTATGTATGTTCTTAAAATAGTATTTACAATAATTATTAATTTCACTCAACTTGAGTTCCTTAAATAAAGAAGTAAAAAGTATTGTATAACACTTATAACAGCAATAGTACCTGAAATTCAAACTAATAAATAAGTTTACTAAACGCAGTACCTTCGTAAATGGCCATTTAACACCAGTGTACAAGTATTTTCCTGTATTCAGTGCAGCATGTATTTATGAGATATTAGAAAAATATTATAGATCATTAATTGAAATTGAAGTAACAATGCATAGCCTGAGGGGCAAATTTGATATTATGGAATAATATAGATGGTATAGATAAATACTTAAAATTGAAATAACAACATCCAATCTGAAAGGTAATTTAATATTGTAGTAGAACTGCGTTGTTGTGGTGATTTACTCCAACCAGGGGTTGGTAGGGTTTCATAGACTCCAGATATTAAGACTATACAACATACTTATCAAACCTGAGTAGTTCCTAATCTCTTGAGGAGAACCTGATGGATTGGATCAATATCCTCCAATATTTCCGATGGCCTGGGACTGGATCAGAGCCGCGACAAGAAGCAACTAACCCTGGGCACTGAAGTTCAGTAATTACAAGCCACTAAAGCTTCCAATTGTCTAGTGGAGGCTGAAGACAGGAGGAACGACTTGAAGCATACAGTAAGCTTAACCTTTAACTCTCTACTCAAAGTTAGAGACTAAAGCGTGACGAATAAAACGTGACGTCTAAAGGGTGATGAATAAAAGTGATGAATAAAGCGTGACGTCTAAAGAATAAAGGCCTGAAAAAAATGAACGTTATGAAACTGGGCGTGAAGCGATAGGTAGGTATGTCCAATATTCGAATCTCAACCATATAACTTACAAAAAACTATGCTTTTACATAGGAAATAGAGAGACACAGAGAAGACAAATAAGAAAAACCACTTACCAAAATACTTTGGCCTTTAGGAACAAACAATTGATCACGTTGCTCTTTTTCGGCTCACAAAGAAATCCGCACAAGGCGATTGGGTGCTAAAATAACAGATTAGCCATCCTAAATCTATGAGCGAAAACTGGCAACTCAGAAATCAGCAAAACGTGCCTGAGAAGTTTTCCCGAACACTTAATCGTGGAAAGTCCTCGACGTGAATGAACTCTGCTTGTCTCTTCAATGTCCTTTAAAAAAAGCTCTGTCAAAACTCCAAGGTGAAGGATTCTGGGGATTTTGATGGTAGTTGGGGCATGGGACTTATTCAAATTAAGTTAGTACCGGTCATTGACCCTATTTGGAGCGCTGTCAATCTAAGGCCGATACTTTTGCTCTCAATTAACGAATTTGATACGTTGTCAAAATTTTGCATGGGCCAAGTTCTATAAGTGTGATGTGGTTAGAGCACATTCTAATCCCTGATTTATTTTTAACGGCTGTCAAATGAGAGCAAAAGTACCGGCACCTAATAAATCTAATCGGATCAAACAATCAGCTGTTCCAATATAAGTATTGTGATTCCATTATTTTAAACCTCTAGCTTGATGATTCTGGGAAGAATGAAAAATTTGAAGAAAAGTGTGGCCACAAATATTGGATAGAAAATAGTGGCTTGACGAAGGTATGCTATTCAGTGAGCCAAATACGCTTATTTCCTTTCATTTTAACCCAGGAAAAATCATCCCGTAACACAGCCTAACTACCAAGACCAGCTGACATTTACTCCACCACAAAATTCTCAACGACACCCACCATCGATCAAGAAGAGCTGAACATTATCCATAAAGAGGCACCATATCTAACCACGTCAGAAGAAATGAAGAAAACGTTTTACTCGCCAAAGCATTAGTAGAAGGTAAACACATCAGGTTCCCCTCAAGTCCTAAGGATTCCGAATCACCAAGGATCACAGATATTCATAATTAGCGAAGAAACTAGTCCATTGAAGCACAGATCAAACCACGATTTATGAGCGCATTCTCTATAGATATTAACATGATTGTCCTTCCGAAACTCACTCAATGCATGCCAAAACGACACCTACACATAAACAGTATAGACAGTTGGAAGAATGAAATGCTAGCTGATCCAACATTCATGACACCAAGTATATTAGGCGCCAAGGAATATGCCAGTACCATTTTGAACGACATGCAAAAAAGTACAGAAGGCCTGTTGGAACAAAACACATCAGTTTCTGGCCCAATAGCATTCGGATCTCCCGCTATCCAAGTTGTCAACATGATCACTCACTATGAAGCAGATAAACAGCTAATCAAGTTCTGGGAAATTGAAGAAATAGCCCAAGCGCACTAGCAAACAGAAAAAGACCAAGCATGCAAAGAGATTAATGAGGAAATTACAACTCAAGACTCCGAGGGTAGATTCATAGATAGAATTCCATTCAAACAGTCAGCAGATGTATTAGATCACTCTAAACCTAGAGCCGTCGCAAAATTCACGAACATCGAAAAAAAGTTCTATCAAGAACCCAGTTTACAAGAACAATATTCAACATTCATAAAGGAATAGCTAGAGTTGGGTCACATGAAGAAAGTCACTCAACATGAAGTAAACCAAGGGAGATATTACATTTTCCATCAAGCAGTCATCAGAGAAGCCGAGAGCAGTCCGCGTGATAATAATAAAGAGAACAGGTAGTTTCACACAAAAAAAGACTGATTTACCAAGTTAATTCCTCTACTGACAGAGGATTCACATCATTTACCAACCATCCAAAATCAGTTATCAACATCAACCAAATCATATTTATTGTTCTTCCTAGCAGCTCTAATGATGATGATCACAA